GAATGGGTTTGGAGAGCTCCTGCAAATCCAATATGTATTTAACCATACGGCCATCGGTATCATCAGTACGCCTTCAAAAATTATAATTTCCCAAAATGACTAGATGCCGCTGAAAAACTTGCTCTTGCAAGACAACAAGACAACAAATTAAATATTCCAATTCAAAGCATGTCTCGGAAATCAAGTTTTTTGGTCGAATAAGTCTTGTTTTCACGTGGATGCTCAATTCTGAATTTTGCACTTCCTGGGACAACAGCGAAAATCTCACTTTTTTTTAGTCAATTTGCAACGTGAAATTCATGCTTTTGAAGCACAAAATCGACATTTTTGAAGAGCTACATCCTCCTATTCTTGCATTTAGGGATTTTTATTCGGAATAATTCTCTACAGGCAATACAAGAGCCGCCCCTTTGACATCCACCTCGACAAACTAGCATTTCTCGAATGCACGACCCAAGTGCACCCTGGGAATGTTGACTTCTATGAGACAAGGAATGGCCAGTAATCTTACTTTACTACTTTTTTATAAGTGCCAAGTCACTCGCACCTACAGGCAAAATATTGCATCGACTGCATTCTTTGGATGTTAAAACTTGCCAAATTTACCTTGACTTCTTCCAGAAGAGTGCCGCCTAGTCGAGCTTAATGATGCAGTCTTAGGGGCTTCTATGGCATCAAATGACTTAAAACATGCACTTGMCACTTATAACTCTTTTTGGCGAATTTGAGCTTGAGTGCTGGCTAATCTAGCGAGCTGTCTCAAATTCGCCGGGCGTTATTGAAATCTATATTTCCTGAGGTATTTGAATTGACGATAGTTTGATTGACAGCGCCCTATTTGGAAGTTAAACAATTTATGGAATTCTAACACAGAAAAATACTCCAAAATTGACAAATGTATCACCGTAGGGAATGAGTTAAGGAATATAAAACGAATTTCCATGTTTGAAACTCTGATCAAAAGACGCGGGATGTACGTAGGTAGAAAACGAAAGAAGCTGGTTTCCAGCTTTTCGAGTGTTCCCCCATCCTACGTCCTACGTCTCAAGTGTTTTGATAAGAGTATCAAATACGGAAATCCGTTTCATATATTTTTTGTAAAATAATGAACTTCAAGCCAATTCAATGTACATTTTATTCTTAAAACGATTATGGCTGTTGAAGCTCTTCAGAGCGTAGCTGTGAATACGAATAACAGAACATATTGATGTCTGTKTTTCCAACGGTTATTTCTGTCACATAGATGTAGTATAATTTTAAATTTATAAGTTTGTAAGTTAAGAATAAGCTTTATTTATATTAACTTACAAATTTTGAAAACCAAAAAGAAAATAAAGTGATATCCATTTTGTACGAATTCAAGAAATAATCAAATTTACTTAACTAGCTTGTTTTATCTATTAAAAATGYTGATTCAAAATCAAATCAAATCAAATCTCATCAAAACACGCTTTTTGGCCAATCACAGCGCGTGTTAAATACCAAYTATTTTAGAATGTGAATGTGAAGTTCGATTCCCGTACATCTTACCCTGTTAATTTAGCGGTTGCTTTGGCTGTGTCTTTAGCTCTTAACGACTCTCTRCTATCGCAATAACGACCTTCGTGATGTCGATCATGTTCGGGGGAGCTACTCCTGCTGCGGCTTCTATGTCTGCGTCGATCACGTGATGAACTTCTACTACGGCCACGTGAGCGGTGCCAATCACGCGAAGAACTCCGCTCACGTCTTCTGTCACGTGATCTACTTCGCGATCGATCACGTGATCTGCTTCGTCGACGTCTAGTTCGATCACGTCGATCTACAACTTTGTTTTCCCGTCCTTGCTTTTTAGACCTGTTGGATTTTTTGAAACCCCACATTCCCACAAATTGAAATACAACATTGGCACATACATTATCACGATAAACAGCATCAGAATAATAAAATGGCATACATACGTGATACACATTTAAACGTAGAAGAGTCATCAATAAAGTACAAATGATGTCAAGTGTGGATGAGCAGCATACCAGTCACAGAAAAAAAAACAAGAGTAAACGAAAATTAGCATGCGAACAACTGTTTTCTAAACAAATAAAAACACATATAGTATGAAAGATAATCCTTTACACTTTGAACTGGTTGATTTCAAAATTAATGGAAATGACGTACAATGGAGACAGTCTTGTGTTTATGTTTTACCCCTTTTACTCAAAAA